CATTTCTGGAGCTGTGACTGTTAAAGTGACCAATACATTACTTCGCTGCAGGCTCCCACATTTTCTCTGCTTAAGGTCATCACTGCTCCCAAAAAGGATGATGCAGTTCCAAAATATGGGAAATAAAGAGCAGTGATAACAACTTCCTTCAGTTTTGCCAAAGAATAAGAGCAGTGGGCTGCTTGCAGGTATAATTATCCAGAACACCAACCATTTCTCCCCACCAGTCTGTTGTGGGGCCCCACATTACCCAGGAGAAATTCAATTTTTTGAGTCTTGAAGGTTTCTAGGCTTTCCTCTTTAGACCACAAACATCTTTATAAAGATGGTCGGGATCTCCAGTGCCTTCAGGAGCTAGGCAGGTAATTCACTTCTGAAGGAGCTGGGGTTAGACAAAAAAATGAGTTGATTACTATGTCAACCTGTGGATTGCTTCCCCTGCTCACTCGCCTTGACAACACTGTGTGGCTAATAGTCTGTGGGTTACCTGTTTGTAACACCAAAAGGCTCCACTTTTTTTCCTCCTGATTGTCAAAGTTTGTTGTAGAATGCATGAGAAATAAAACTACAGAAAAGTCTAAATAAGCAAATAGAATTATCAGTCGATCCCTGATCCCATTAAGTGTTCTTGTTACCTTGACATATTCCCTTCCAGTTTTTAAGTGTAAAAATCTGCATCAATGGGATCTGCCCTAAAGTGGCACACGTGAACCTCAGTTAAGAAATACTTGGGGTTAAAATAAGGATATCACTAGGTCCTGTTTCAGACTGAGAATTAGCTACAAGTCAGGCCCTTGGAGGATAGAACCCGGAGAGATAAGTAGAAATAGAAGAATATAGAAGGGTGAATGGGAGGTAAGGACAAAGATAAATCTCCTGTTGTTCATGGATTTGCCAGAGGAAAACCGGCCAAAAAAAGATCTTCAGCATGAGGCTGGCAGCGAGGGCCTGATGGAGCTAGGGGGTGCCAGGAAGCAGGGTCAATGCTTTCAGGGTGGGGTAGAGGAGCGGGTGAGGTGTTAAAATTAAAGCTCCTCAGAACTCTCTGTCCATTCCATCCCCCTCCTCCAACCAGTTTCAAAGACATTAATGTAGGCCGGGCATGGTGGCTTACGCCTGTATTTTCAGCACTTTGGGAGGCCGAGGTGAGTGGATCACCTGAGGTCAGGAGTTCGAGTCCAGCCTGGCCAACATGGTGAAACTCTGTCTCTACTAAACATACAAAAAAATTAGTTGGGTGTGGTGGTGTGCACCTGTAATCCCAGCTATGTGGGAGGCGGAGGTAGGATAATCGCTTGAACCTGGGAGGCAGAGATTGCAGTGAGCCAATATCGTGCCACTGTACTCCAGCCTGGGCAACAGAGTGAGACTCTGTCTTAAAATAAATAGATAAGTAGATAAATAAAAAATAAAATAAGACACTAATCTACTTAGAAACTTTAAAAAAATTAAGCTACAGGATTTTTTTTTTTTTCAAGGAAAATCTTAGGAAAAAGCTGTTTATGTAAACAGACTATAGCAGAGCTGGTGTGTTCCAAAGGGGGACCTGAAGCCCTCTCCACACCTCTCAACTCTAAGCCCACCCACAGCAGTATTCAAAAATGCACCTCATCTCTGCTCTGTTTGCCCTGGCCCTGAGAAGCAGCGCTTTCCTCTCAGATCTTCCAGAACTCCTCTAAGTTGCTGATCCCAGTGACCCTCATTTTATTCTTTGTTCTTCTCCATATTTGCTCTTTCTCAGTTTGATGAATCTCCTCTTGTCGCATTTTAGATACGTATTGACTTTTGCACAACTTCCCAAGACATTCTCAGAGAAAGATTGACGGGTGTAGGGTCACGGGGGAAGGAGGTTTAGCGATTTTAAATGTTAGTAAACATGACAGTTTGTTAGGGATTAACAGGAAATCATGAATAAAATCATTGGGATTTGATAAGGGATTTTTCTCCCAGACAATTAAAGATTTTTTTTTCATTATCTTTCTCCCCCCACAAAAAATGTCATAGAAAAAGGACACTGGGATAACCCATTATCAATCTAATACTCTTAAAACAGATAAAAGGCAAAAGTCCTTAAGCTTATGCTGCCATGGGGCCCCTGTGAACTGTTGTTCTGGTATCTTTTTAGCAGGTGATACTGTCCTTTAATACCTCCTACTTAATTCTCAATTTTCTTTTAAACATCAGATATTGAATAGTCTGCAAACTCCTTTAGGTAATAAAGAACTCTCATGCTCTATGGCCAAGATCTGCCAGGGAGTGAAATATTTTTGATACAAAAGAGTAATTCATTAAAGGTGATAATGAAGGCAATTGAAACCCTCCACAAACGTAGCACCAGGTGAATAAAGCTCGTCACTCTCAATTTAGGGTCATGTTGTAAAGAGGGGGAAAAAAAGAAGAAAAAAAAAACTGCACAAGTGGGCCAAAAATTTCAGTGGGTCTCAGTCGAGCTGACAATTTAGAATTTGACAAACAAGCAGAAAAAAAGGGAGTTTTATTAATATTATGAAAAAAAACCCCTCTGGAATAAAGCATTATATTTCCATGTTATTTTTTGCACTCATATGCACTTACATGGTCTTAGGGGGAAATCTGCCTTTGAGATGAAATTTTGCTTATCTGATTACAACTCAGGGGCTCTCCCTCGCACACACTCAGCCAGAAGCACATACAGTCTCACACACCAGTGTGAATGGCTTAGATGATGGAGAGATGCAGTAGTGAGAGAACGGAGCTACAAAATTTGGGCATTCTGATTGAGAGTCAGCCGGTTAGAGCCTTGCAATGCACCTAGTCCCTAGGAACTGAGAGGATCAGGCATCTACTGGACAGATCTGAACCAGTACGTGTTTGTCCACCAACCCTGTAGCCCAAGGAGCTTAACCTGAAAAGTAGCGTATATTAACTGTTGAGAGAGGTATCTTGGACTGTTCTTCTCCGTTGTTTTAGGTCCATAAAATAGGGTTTTATGGGAGGTCCCAAACAGGAATATTGAACTAACACAGAGAAGTCAAGGAGTTGAAAATGTCCCTGTCAGATATGAGAAAGCCCCATACTAAATCCCTGCTGGGTGGACTTCCGAACTTTACCTGAACGTTTTCAGCGCCCTGTTGCTCACTACGCTAGAGTCTATCTTCTTGTTGAACAGCCTTAAGTATGAAGAATTCCTTTCCTGAATTCAGCCTAGTGTGTTTTAATATCTTTCTTTCTTTTTTTTCTTTTCTTTTCTTTTTTTTTTTTTTTTTTTTGAGCGAGGGTCTCACTCTGTTGCTTAGGACCATAGCTCACTGCAGCCTTGAACTCCTGGGCACAAGTGATTCTCTTGCCTCAGTCTCCCTAGTAACTGGGGCCACAGGTGCAAGCCACCACGTTTGGCTTATTTTTATTTTTTGTAGAGATGGGGTTTTACTATTGTTACTCAGGCTTGTCTCTAAACTCCTGGCCTCAAGCTATCCTCCTGCCTCAGGCCCCCACAGTGCTGGGATTACAGGTGTGAGCCACCATGCCCGGCCCATGATTTCTTTCTAACTTGGTCTTGGGGTCTCTTTCAAGAGTGGCTGTAAGCCACTGATAGGGGATAAAGTTAGTCGGGGTGTGTGGGTCAGGTGAGACTCAGAAGAGGCAGCACAGCAAAACCCATGAAATAACAGAAGTGTTTCTGTTGTTACAGAGCCAGGAGAATAAGAAGAGTTGCTGGGGAGTTTGGAGGTGGCAGGGAGCTCAAACAGTGTCTGGGGAGAGAGAGGCCTGTTGTGGGACTGGGCCTTTCTTACGGTCCATGGCGTTATCTGTCAGGCTTTCCTGCAGGGGTTGTGGATTGGGCAGTTTAAAGAAAACACATATGAAGAGCAGGTCCTATTCACATGACTCTGGTGTTGTCCATTGGGTTTTACTGTGGTCGGCAGGTGCGGGACATGTTGGGTTTTTGGTCAATGGGATGAGGAACAAGCAGGCCATACGGCAGACAACCATGTGGGGAGGGCAAGTTTTCTGTAGGTCAGAGGCAATGGGGTACGACTGGGTTTCAAGCAACTTAAGTCGTGCCTAAAAACGGATGTGGAGGCTTCAACTATATGAAACAAATTTATGAGTCTTGATTATCTATAAATTAGCTTCCATTCTCTTTAGAAAGGACACCCAACATATCTCTTATACATGGCAGCCTTTCAGATACTATATCTCACTCAGCATCCTCTCCTTCCCCACCTAATCTGATAGCTTAACCCAAACGACAACGTCCTGGGTCCACTGACGTTCAGATAGGAGGAATGGAAATCTGGTGGAAATCTCTCTGTCTGTCTCTCCTCCCACACTGTTAGTATTATGTTTTTGTTTGTTTGTTTGTTTTTCTGAGAATAAGCTACAGACTTCCATACACTCTAATTACGAATTTCCTAAAAACAAAAGTATCCTCTTACATAACCCCAGTTTATCAAAATCTGAAAATAAACACTGATACAAAACTGTTAGTTAATCTACAGATCTTATTCAAATTCGACCACTGCCCAATAATGCCTTTTACAGCAAAAGAAAAAATTGTTTTCTGGCCCAATATTTAAACTATAATTACTTATTATGCTGACTTGTCATGCCTTTTTAGTTCCCTTTAGCCTCATGTTTTGTTCTGTTTTGTTTTGCCTTTCATGACCTTGACATTTTCTAGGAGTGTAGGTCAGGTATTTTGTAGCATGTCCTTCATTTAGGCTTTGCTGATTTTCTTCATGATCCAATTCGGGTCATGCATTCTTGGCGGGAACACCATAGAAGTGATGCTGATCTTTCTCAGTGCATCATATCGGGGGCATGTGATGACTGTCCCATTACTGGGGTTGTTAACTTTGATTACTTGGTTTAAGGTGACATCTGCCAGTTTTCATACTAAAACATTATTATTCCCTTGATGATTAATAAGTATCTTGTGAGAAATGCACTGGAACATTCTCAAAGAGGTGCAGCCGTGGAAAGCCTGTGATTGACTCTGCCTTCCCCTTTGTTTTCAGAGTCGAACGGCCGCAGGGCAGTGAACCGAGGCTACGTCACCAGCTTGCTCTGGCTGCACCAGGACTGGCACAGCTGTGACACAGCCAACACCTACGTGCAGATCCGACGGGGCTTGCTGCTCTGCCTCAGGCACATTGCTGCCCTCCGGTCCGGCAGGGAGGCCTTCCTGGCAGCACAGGGCATGGAGATCCTCTTCAGCACCACACAGGCAGGCAGCATGGGGATTCACTCTGCAGTTGGAGGCCCGCTGGATGATTCCTGAAGGCTGTCATTTAGGAATCATCCCAGACAGAGCTGGGAACACCTCAATCTATTTCTTGTTGCCTGCTAAGGGCAGATGTTCCGGATTTAAGTCTTCATTCCAGGCCAGGCTTGGTGGCTCACGCCTGTAATCCCAGCACTTTGGGAGGCCAAAGCAGATGATCACCTGAGGTCAGGAGTTTGAGATCAGCCTGACCAAAATGGTGAAACCCCTCTCTACTAAAAGTATAAAAATTAGCTGGGTGTGGTGGCGCATGCCTGTAGTCCCAGCTACTCAGGAGGCTGAGGCAGGAGAACCGCTTGAACCTGGGAGGCGGATGTTGCAGTGAACCGAGATCATACCACTGAACTCCAGCCTAGCTGGCAGAGTGAGACCCTGTCTCAAAACAACAACAACAACAACAAAACAATCTTCATTCCATTGTTTCATTCACATATACTTAACATATGTTTGTTGAATACACACTACCAGAAGTGCAGTATGGCATAGTGGTAAGTGTTGACTCTAAAACTAGAGAACTGGATTCAAATCCCAGCTCTAGGGCCTACAGCTGTGAAACTTTGAAAAAGTCACTCAACTTACCTGGGCCTCTAGATTCTTCAAAAGAAAAAAAAAGCAGAAATAACAAAACCTAGGTTGTCGTGTGGACTAAATAAGTCACTGTACAAATGGCACGTGCCCAGAAGAGTGCTTGCCATGACTGAACTGCATTTGGAGGATGAGCCATTACTGGAATAATTAGCAGTGGGGTCTAGTGGTGGATATGACAAACCAGGCCCTCGAGCCTATAGGGAAAACCTCCTAGCAGAAGAATCAGACACTAAGTAAGCAAAGAATCCAATGAGGAAGATAATTTCTTATTGCACTGTGGAATCAATGAAGTAAGGGCATAGGTGTACAGGGGCCGCCATAGGTAGAGGGAGCAGGTGTTCTTTTAGAGAGAGAGGTCAAGTTATCTCTGAGCAGGTGACACCTGAGCTGAGACCTGAGTTATTGGAGGAGCTGGTCATGCTGGCCAGGCCAAGTTGCAGGGGAAGAGCATCCCAGGGAAAGGGGATGGTGTCTTCAAAGACCATTTCTACTTATCAGCACCCCACTGCAATATGCATTCTAGGGATTCCTGGATTTCAACCTAAATACATGCCTTAATTTCACCTGATTAGGGCTAATTTAAACACCATAGTTTGAGGCTACATATGCCCTCTCTATTGGTGGTATAAGAGTTCCAAATATCCATCATCTGCTCACCCACCTTCTCCTGGGGCCAAGGCAGCCATGTTGCACATGCATTAGGTTCCTATTTTCTCCAGATTAGGCTGCCTCTGGACTCCCTTTTTCAGCCTTCTTGCTCCTCTCTGGACACCCTCCAGTTTTTCTCTATCTGAGTACATCTGAGGTAATGAAGCCGCCAATGAGAGTGTTGTTTTCCAACCATGGTATCTGTAGACATTTCTCATTAAAAAATGGCCTTACCCCCGCCAAACAATAACAAAATACAGTGCTGCAAACCAATATCTAATTTTCTATCTGCTATCACCTCTGGATTTCTTTCCATCATTACAGCTTTCAAAGCTTCTCAGTCATGAAATAGCTGTATTTTACATTCTATTTCTCAGGATGAAGCAGGGCTTTGAATTTTTCCAAGCTCCCTCTTGCTTTGTAAGCTTGTGGTCCCCCAAGTCTCTAATCCCTCCCAGTCCTAGTGCAATGGCCTCCTGCATTGCTGATGTTTAACAGACCCCCACTCTGGTCTAGGGTTTTACCATGTTCCTCTGCCCTCCATGTTATTGGCTATTTCTCTGTTCTGTGCTAAAAAACCCAACAAAAAAACAAAACAAACTAGAAAAACAAGAGCAATAAAGGAAGAAGATGGTAATCACAGAGGGCCATGTCTATGATAGAAATATGGTGGAGAAAACAGCAAATGAAGCCCAGCATGAGAGGCTGTGAGCCTGTGTGCAGGTTCTTCAAAACAGTTCCTTTAGCAGGTCAATGAAGACTTCAGTTGCTCAGTTAAGCACATTAGCAAGAAGCTTCCAGCCTTGAATTACTGTTGGAATGGAAGCAGAATGTGAGTACACACAGAGTGTGCACTTTATAGTGAGGTTTCTCTAGCTTATATTATAATCTCTCTAAGAATTATATGGAAAAGCAGCCCAGGAGGGGCCTATGAGACAGTGCTGAGTAAATAGGCCATGACACACCTGTCGCCTGGAAGAGTGTGTAGAATGTATGGATGTCAACCTCAAGAGGTTGAATTCCTCATCACCACCACTCACCCTTGCTTTTAGTCTTTTAAATAGTGTGCTCTTGGCCGCGGGTGGTGGCTCATGCCTGTAATCCCAGCGCTTTGGGAGGCCAAGGCAGGTGGATCACCTGAGGTCAGGAGTTCAAGACTAGCCTGGCCAACATGGCGAAACCCTGTCTCTACTAAAAATACAAAAAATTAGCTGGTCATGGTGGCACGTGCCTGTAATCCCAGCTACTCAGGAGGCTGAGACAGGAGAATTGCTTGAACCCAGGAGGTGGAGGTTGCAGTGAGCTGAGATTGCACCATTGCACTCCAGAGTAAGACTCTGTCTCAAAAAAAAAAAAAAAAAAAATTATGTGCTCTTCCAGAGGAAATGTTATCAAGTTTATGTGCAAAGTCTGATGTTTGACATTCTCCTGTTTTTTGGAAAATGATCTTTGCAGGTGAAAGATAGGCTGTCTTGGCTTAGAAACCAAATGGCTTGTTACTCTTCCCTAGCAGTCATAACCAGTGTTGAGTAGCCTCCCAGACCTGAGGTGAGTGCTGTGAGCACAGATGCCCTTGCAGGTGTGCTGGAGTTAGAGCTGCCCATCACCCCTCCTCTCCCTTCTGCTAGAGAAGGCATGGGAGTTACTTGATGGTCAACTCAGGGGACTTGGATTTGGTGATGTTATTTCAGTTGCCATTTGCAGATTATGCTGCTGCTGCTGCTGCTGCTGCTGCTGCTGCTGCTGCTGCTGTTGCTATTGCTGATGCCAGTGGTAGTGATGACAATGTTAATGAAGCAGCAGCAGCAGAGGCAGGAGGAGGAGGAGGAGGAGGAGAAGAAGTAGGAGAAGAAGAAGACAGTTACTTTGAACTCTTACTATTAATATATCCCTTGACTGTGCTAGCAATTTATGCAGACTCTCCAATATTGATAATTTGAAAAGCTTTTGAGGTAGGCTTTATTATTATCTCCCTTTTTACAGATGAAGAAACTGAGGCACATAACTGTTAAGTAATTTTCCCAAGTTCACAAAGCTCGTAAGTGTTGGAGCCAGGATTGGAATCTGGTAGTCTCACTTGAGAGCCCATGCTTTTGCCCACTGTACCAGCAGCTCCCCAAGTTGAGCATGCATCAGAGTCACCCGGAGGGGTCACTAAAGCAGAGCCCGTTGGACTCCATTCTCAGAGTTTCTGACTCAACAGGGCTGTGGTGGGGCCTGAGAATGTGCTTTCCTGACAACTGCCTAAGTGATGCTGATACTACCGATTCAGGATCACACTTGGAAAACCACAGTCCTATATTAGTTTTATCAATGTGTATGATGTGCTTACAAACCTACTGAGAATAAGATTGACTGTAAAGGAACATTTTTAAAGTCCTTCCTACACCTTTGCCATCGTAATATTCTTCTTTGCCTTTCTGCTGAGGTCACTGCTTGCATTGTCTCTCTCTTGGTGACCCTACCTCTTTGTTTCCTGAGTCTTACATTTCTGCACAGATTTTGTAAACATCCCCTAAAAGTTCTAAGGCTGAGATCACCCACAGTGCAGCAAGGGTGCTGTATAATGTAGTATAATGGAATCTTATTGGAGCTTTGCGTGAGGAAAGAGGAAGAAGGATGACAATTTGAATGCAAGATAAAAAAAAAAAAAAACTCCTACAAGGATGCCTGAGACAGTTGGAGATAATTATCAATTTGGAGAAATAGGTAACTGCAGAAGGAACAAACCTAGATAAGATAATCAGAGAAAAGAACCACTCTTTGGAGCTACAACAGCCTAAGGGGCCTGAAAGATTGCTAAAATTGCTGGTTTTCAAACTTGAGCATGCATCAAAGTTACCTAGAGGAATTGTTAAAACACGGATTGCTAGATCCTACCCCAGAGTTTCTAATTCAGTTGTTCTGAGGTGAGATGCAAGATTCTGCATTTCTAACAAGTTCTCAGGTGATACTGAGGCTACTGGTTTGGGTATCTCACTTTGAACACCACTAGAATAAGAAGTGATACAGCCTTTTAAAAGTCACAGTTGCCACCATTTGCTCAGAAAGCACAGTAGGCCAAGTCTTGATTCATCAGGCTCGTCTCTGGCCAACAAGACCAAGGGCCTCAGCCTTGTGGACCTATGAAAGGAGGGACTGAACCCTAAAGGAAATATTACCAGGTTGGAATCAGGAGCTAGATACCCTGAAGGTCAGATTGGTCTGAGATCATTTCCTATTGATTCAGTAAATGTTTTCTGAGCTCCTTTTTGGTGAAAGATGTTGGGGCTGTGTTCTATAGGGCGTTCAAAGATGAAGGTGGTAGACGACTCATCGTCCTCAGGAAACTTAGTGTCCTATATGGGAAAATAGGATATGGATAATGCAGTGTAGGCAGCAGGCGGGGGTAATAACAGACTTCACGTAACCATGCACAGGAGGCCCTACTTGGTCTTGCTGACCAGAGAAGCCTCCAAGAAGGCACCCACATTTGAATGAGGCTAGGAGAGTATTTTGAAAAGTCTGAGAGAAACACTTGGTTTGTAAACTGTTCAGAGAAGCACAGGAGGTGGCCACAAGGCACAGACAGAGACAGAAGCCATGGAGAGTGAGTGGGACAACTAGGACGTTTTGGAGGGTCAGGCAGAAGGAAAGATCTCGGTGACAATCCAGAAGATATCAAGCCATTTCCATTTAAGATATTTTTATATTGAAGCTATGTCACATCTGCCCTTGGCCTTAGAATTTCTCATCTATGTTCAAAGAATCACTGCAAAGAGAAGGGAGAGAGGGGTTATGCCAGGCAGGCATAGTTGAAGAGCTGTGGTGTCACCTGAGACCTGAATGATAAGAAAGAACCAGTGCCATGAGGGTCTGGAGATGAGGGTTCCATGGAGAGAAAAAGGAAGTAAATGCAAAGACCCTTAGGTGGGGAAGTAGAGTGGGAGGTGGGTGAACTTGAGAAACACAGATATGGCAGAGCGTTGTGAGTAAGGGGGAAGACATGAGATTGAGTTGGAGTCATGGGCAGTGCCAGGACATTTAGAGTTCCTTGAACCATGATGAGGACTTTGAATTTTATTTCCGCCAACTTTTTTGTTTGTTTGTTTGTTTTGTTTTGAGATGGAGTCTCGCTCTGTTGCCCAGGCTGGAGTGCAGTAATGTGATCTTGGCTCACTGCAGCCTCCACCTCCTGGGTTCAAGTGATTCTCCTGCCTCAGCCTCCCGAGTAGCTGGAATTACAGCCATGCGCCCCAATGCCTGGCTAATTTTTGTATTTTTAGTAGACACGGGATTTCACCGTTTTGGCCAGGCTGGTCTCAAACTCCTGACCTCGTGATCCACCTGCCTCGGCCTCCCAAAGTGCTGGGATTACAGGCGTGAAGCACCGCACCTGGCCTCCATCAACTTGTAAACAGGCACAAAGGAGGAGAAGACATGAATTAAAGAGATAGGGAAGGCCAGATCACGTAGAACTTCCTAGGGCATAAAAATAAATTAGAATTTTATTTCTATCAAGTTTGAAGCAGGAGACTGACCTAATACAATTTATGCTTTTCATTTTTTATTTTTGAAAAATTTTAAATTAATTGTAGTAAAATACATGCAATCAAATTCACCATTTTAACTATTTTTAGGTGTACTGTTTGGTCAGGTTAAGTACCTTGTTGTATAACTGTCACTATTGCCCATCCGTCTCCAGAACTCTTTTCATCTGGAAAAATTAAAACTCTATACCCATTCAACTGATTGATGCTTTTAAAGGACGATTTGGGCTGCCATTTGGAAAAGAGATTACCAGAGGGCACAAGGGGAAGGAAGGAGAGTAAGGGGAGGAATTAGAGTGCTGATAGTTTAGGCAGGAGATGTTAGTGGCTTTGGCTACATAGAAGCAGAGATGGAATTTAAACCCAAGAATTTATACTCCTAGTCAAGGTCCTTTTCCACTAAAATGCCTTGCTTTGTTATCATGGGAATTATTACTAGGACTCTGCTCTGAGAAGCAGTGACTCCTAGCAGCCTCTTGCAGACTCCTAGGAGACTTTATGACACTGAGGATGCCTTCTTTTTTCCCACTGGCTAATACTAAATGCTTACTATTAGGCACTTTGCCCACTTTAATGCATTTAATTTGTACACAACATTAGGAGAGAGGTTGTGTTATTATCTCCACTTTGCAGATGAAGACACTGTGGCACAGAGAAGTGTATTAATTTGCCAGGGTTATGAAGTTAGTAATCTTCAGTCCAGGATTTAAACTCACGTAGTCTGGCTCCAGGACCTGAGCAGTTTGCTCTTACTTTACTTTGCCTATGTATCATGCAAGTAGGGTATTTATGATGCCAAAGCTAATTCAAAGATGTTAACTGTGATGGAAGCATTGAATATATTAATTGAATGCATTCTTGTATTTCATCATCCCTTCCAAGTAGCAAATGTGTTATTGAGAGTGATGGGGAAAGGGAGCCTAAAATCTCACCTTTGCCTCCAATTCTGAGACATTGGTCCATAAGGATCGTATTTCCTGGAGTCTTGTCTTGTTTTGATGCATAGCATGCGTACCAACCCTGCACACCTTTGTCTCACCTTAGTCTCGGCCCTGCACAGCACCTAGCCATTAGCATGAGGGAAATGTTGAGAAATGAATTCAAGAATTTCTGTTACCTTGAAACCAATGATCTTTGCATGCATAAGTATTTCCCCTACAGTGCAGGAGAAGGCAAATATAGCATGATTCCTAAGGCCTTGGGTATTATAGATTGTAATACTCCCTCCAGCCTTCAAATTCAGTTCATAGTATGGCCCAATTTTTCAGAACATTTGAACTGGGCTTCATCTTTTCACTTGTTCCATTCCACCAAAAAAAAAGACACAATTATCTTTTATCATCAAAGACCATCACAAACATACCTGTGTTCCAAAATGTTGGCTTTTTTGACTAAATTCCCTGGCTTGGGCTGGCTCTATCTCTACCAAGGTTGGAGCTTAGAACATCATATCTGATAAGTCATCTGTTTCACCTTATCGCTTCCTCCTTCAGAGTCTGTTTTATTTTTGTCCCATTCCTGATACTTTTCATGAAACACTTGAGACCATTTGATCAGACCAAAGGGTGAAATAGCTTCAACTGTTCATTAGCCTCCATAATGAATTAGCCAAAACTAATTCATTTTCCACCAAGAGTATTTCCTGCTGTGTATTCTGAAGCTGTTGATTCAGGACACCTGATGAGTATGACTGGCACACACTGAAGGGGAGAGAGCATTCTTGATTGCATTAACACATTTCATTTTGAAAGTTGGCTTACTTAAGGCTGGGCGCGGGGGCTCATGCCTGTAATCCCAGCACTTTGGGAGACTGAGGCAGGTGGATCACCTGAGATCAGGGGTTTGAGACAAGCCTGACCAATGTGGTGAAACCCCATTTCTATTAAAAATACAAACATTAGCTGGCATGGTAGCAAGCATCTGTAATCCCAGCTTCTTGGGAGACTGAGGCAGGAGAATTGCTTGAACCCGGGAGGTGGAGATTGCTGTGAGCTGAGATCGTGCCACTACACTCCAGCCTGGGTGACAGAGTGAGACTCTGTCTAAAAAAAAAAAAAGAAAGTTGGCTTACTTATATTTTGGAGTCATTTGGGTAGCTTAAATTCATGGATAAATTTTTATTACTTTTTTTTCCTCCATGTTCTTTCACATGGAAGTACCTGTAATGTTGAGTCTGGAGATGCTGTAGTTCAGCAGCACCCACAGACGTTCACACTGCCCTATGGTGGGTACCTGGCATCCACCATCTCCACTTCTGTGACTTATTGGCCTCAGAGCTTGCTGCACCCTTTAGGAATAGCAAACTGGAGGACCCCACAAGTCATCTTCCTGTACCAGGTCGGTAGACAAAACATTTACAACGATACTGAAGAAAATGGTTGTGTTTTTGCCAAAGAGATACTGAACTATACTCAACTCTCTGTCTCTCAATTTAGTGAACTTGTTCTTACATTTTTCACAGTGTCTGAAAAGAAGGGTCTTGTCATGTTCTATCAGTATCAAAATGTTACATCTGCAAACCCAATTTTTCTCTGATTTGGGAAGGTACCAAGAGGGATCAACACTGTGGGCTTTGAGAAGAGGCATGTAATTTAATTTAGGTACTTGGGATTCACTTAGTCTTTCCCTTTGGTTTCATATTTTATCTTTTATAAAAAATATTTTTCTCTGCAGAAGACAGCTGAAAGCGAAAAGCAAAACTTCCATCAATTCAGCTGCTCATTCCCTAACGTAGGCAATAATTCACAGTGACACATGGGTGGCTGAGAAAAGACACCGGCCTCCTCTTTCCCCAGCTATCCTGAGCAATGTCTTGCCTTAGGCGCAGCATCCCTTGAATGAATTTTAAGTCTATATTCAGACTGAATTCATTGCAATGATGTATGAAATGAGCAAGAGACAGAAAAGTACAGATTCTACATTAGACAAAATTCTATGTTAGAATGTTCAAATTTGACATTCTACATTAAGGCTGTTTACGGTCTGTCCATGTGTATAATTCATTAGCTGAAATACAGCTAGGAGACCGTGCTGTGTTATAGCTAGGAGAGTGTTATTAGCTGTGTTACAGCTAGGGGACTGTGCCCAGATGCTGGCATCTGATATAATCTTCCCTTTGCTCAGAACTGCCTGGATGACAAGAGCATGGAGCCCGTCGTCTCTGTGGTGCTTCAGATCCTGAGGCAGTGCTACCCTAAGAGTCCACTTCCCTTAGTCACAGCCAGCAGTGCCTATGCCTTCCTGGTCCCTGGGCGCATCGCCACTGAACTTCCATGTGATCTACCTGAAGGTAAAATAAGTGGGTAACTATGACCTTTAAGATGAATTTTTGCATTTTGACAATGTTTCCCAGGAAAGTGTATGAAAATAGAATTAGTTGTTTCATAGGTCAACCATAATTGTCTATTAAGCTAATTAGAGACATACATGAAAAAGCAGTTTTGATTTTCATAAACAGGGTGAGAAAATACCAAGCTCACTTATTTTGTTCTTCATTATTAACTGTTTCTGCTTTGCCTAGTAGCTATCAAATGCCTGTACCGTAATCTCAGCTAATTAAAAAAAAGTCTATTCAGAATCCCATGATCGAATCTCTGCAGCTTACTGACTGATTGCGGAATTAGTTTGCCCTGAGGATGAAATTAAAATAAAACTTTTGTTATTTACAACTCCAGGCTAGACATATTGGAATATTTGAAAGTGTTATTATTTAATCTCTAGGAAGATCTTCCTGTCAAAAGATCCTAGTACGAACAGATTTTCTATAGGCATGATTTTGCCACAATGGTACAAGATGCCTTCTGTGGATTTTGTTTTAAATAACTTCCTCAATCAAAAAATTAGGGACTCAATCAAGATGATATTTAGGTTATAACACATTTTGTACGTGTGTGATCTTTAAACTTTGGCTATGCTAGTTGCATAAATACCTCTGACTTTCATGGGAGAATCCAGAATGGTATTCATGTGTCATTTTTTCTGCACTTATTTTGCATTCAATGTGGGATAACTGTTTAAACTTTATGACTTAGTGCCCCAACATACCTACGTGCACACCATTTGTACTGACTAATAAGCATTCGTGTGTGGTGGAATATTGTGCAATTAATATTGGGCCCCTTATTTGAGAGAGGAAGAAGAAAGGACCACTGTGTGGTGAACATCTAAATCCTAAATCCCAGAAAAACGGGAGACCTCACTTATTTCACCTCTTTTCCCCCGTCCAGAGGATTTTGAAGATGACGATGATGACGAGGTGGACAAAGACTCTGATACTGAAGATGGGAAAGTGGAAGTAGGTACACCAGCTCATGCTTCTAATGATGTCCATAGTCACATCATGCACAGAAAAATATCACTTTCTGTGTTTGCCCAAGCCCAGTGTAAATTTTAAGAACTGACTTTAGTATTCCCACTCCAGTGGTAGTGATGCTTAATAAATGACAGCTACTGTTATTGATTTCCCAGTTGTCATTTTCATCTTGGTAGGTCCGGTATAATGTCTCATTGTAAAGTCAGAGGCTATCCTATACATTATGAAGACACCAATACTTTATTCAGATGAACTTTAGGTACACAATACTTGGAGTTGGTATATTTAATAAGATCATTTAAGATACTAGAAAGATTTTCCAGGAAGCTTTCTAGTAGATCTCACCTGTCTTCATAAGTCACTCTTCTTATCCTTTCTGTACAGGGCTGCTGCATCGTACAAGTCCATTGACATCAGACTCTGTGAATTGTTTTCCCTTAAGTTGCACAGTGCACAACCTGGCCAGTAGAGAAGTGTTGCTTTTTGGTCCCCCTCCCAAAAAGGCCTATCCTATAGAACAGAGGTTGGTGAACTTCCTATAAAAGGTCCAATAGTAATTATTTTAGGCTTTGGGGACCATACTGTCTTTGTCACAACTGCTCAACTTTACCGTTGTAGCACAAAACAGCTATAGACAATTTGTAAACAAATGGACATGGCTGTGTTCCAAGAAGTTTGTTTGTTTGTTTGTTTTTGAGATGGAGTCTCACTCTGTCACCAGGCTGGAGTGCAGTGGTGCGATCTTGGCTCACTGCAACCTCCGCCTCCTGGGTCCAAGCAATTCACCAACTTCAGCCTCCCGAGTAGCTGGGACTACAGATGCCTACCACCACACCCAGCTAATTTTTGTATTTTTAGTAGCGACAGAGTTTCACCATATTGGCCAGGCTGATCTCGAACTCTTGACCTTGCAATCTGCCCACCTCAGCCGCCCAAAGTGCTGGGACTACAGGCATGAGCCACTGTGCCCAGCCTCCAAACAACCTTCATTTTCAAAAATAAGCAGTGGGATGTAGTTTACTACTGTTTTTCTACCACAAGGTTTCAAGACCTTGGCACTGTTGGCATTTAGACTGGATACTTCTTGGTTGTGGGAGGCTGCCTTGTGCATTGTAGGATGTTTAGCAGCATCCCTGACCTCTACCCACTGGATATCAGTAGTACCCACCTCGTTACCCCCCAAGTATGAACCAAAAATATCTCTAAGACTTGCCAAAATCACCCCTAGTTGAAGATCACCGCTCTAGAATAAGAATTTGTCTATGAATTATAATTCTCTCTCCATTTCTGTTGGTGGTCATGGACTTTGACAAATTTCTTTAAGTTACAGTTTCTTAATTTTGTCGTCTGTAAAAGAAGACTCAGTAAATTAAAGCCAATGCTGCCTTTTATGACATTTCCTAGGGATGAAACTCCAATTTAAAAAATCAAAAATTTTCCCTCCTTTTCTTTCTCTCCTTCTTTCCTATCTGTTCAGAAAGAAAGAGGCTTTTGAGTTCTCTATCATGATAATCACTCACCTTGCTGATGGTAGTAGCAGACATACAGGGACTATCTCTTAAGCTACATCTGTAGGTTTAGACTGCTATTGACAGTCTGGTGTTCTCTGGGTGTTGTTGATAAATAGAATCATTTCTGAAGTCATCAGTAGCAAATTGGATCTTTGCTGTGGCTTGGTGGTGCAGGCCTATGGAGTACGTGCTGAATTATTTGAATAATACTGTGCTGCTGCAGTCATTCATCAATGTCACTTTCCCCTCCCCTCTTGCTTGCTCTTTGATAACTGAATGTCTGATGCAGAGTGTCACTCGCTTCATGTATCTGATGGGGAGGGACTGGGTGTACGATAGTGCCTGACTTCCCACAGTATGGGAGGGAGGGCGTTCAGATACTTCCCTTGGCCCACGCTCTGCAGAGGGTGGAGGGGTGGGGTAGAGAGAACCCTAAACAAATAAATAAACTCAACTGGCAAAGAAACACAAGACAAATTGGTAAGAGCTTGAAAACTATACATCAAAAGACTTCAAGCCAGGGCAAGAAGATGAGAAGTCAGCGTGAAGATGAGTTGTAGAGAAGGAGAGGGGCATGAGAGTCAGGGCTTGATTCAGAGGCACAGCAAGAGCAAGGAAACTGCTCCAGAAAACTGGATTTTCCCTGGGGAAACCAGCAGCATTTTCTGCCAGAGGCATGAACAAGAAGTCAGGCATATTTTATTTCTGGCCACAGCACTGACCCAGGCCTTTAACCTGTGGCCTTCCCATTTGACAATCTTAGGTAATAATTGGGACCAGCCTCTTAGAAAGAATGATTAAGAGGATCTTTTATGAGAGTGGAAAGTAGGGTGCTGTGACTTGATTGAAAACTGCCAAGGTCAACGTATTAGATGTGGTCTGTCTTCACATACACAAGCATTAGATTCTGCAAAACTGTGAAGAAGAGGGTGATAAACAGAGTGAATTCAAGTTCTCCCTTCCTTCTTCCTTCCTTTCCTTTCTTTTTCATTTTTTATTTCTTTCAGGTGCTTTATTGGGTATAATCCATATGCAACATGCTAAATTCTTGGGGATGTTAATATGAAGCACAAACAGATGAGACATAGTTTTTATCTTCAAAGAGTTTGCAGTCTAGTGAACTTGGAGTTTGTCCTTATTAAGTGTTCAAATCACCACCTTCAATGGAGTGGTGAACTCAAGTTTGAGGCAGCCAAAAGACAATGTCCAAGAGCTCCAACCTATGGAACAAGAGCCAGAAAGCATTACCTGGATTAGGTGGGTAGCAGAATCCTAGTTGGTAAAGGAGTGCCTGGGCTGCTGTGAGGACACAGAAGCCAGCCACCTCCAAATAAGAACAAATGCCATTTATAAGAAATATGAAAGGAGGTGGCAACCTGGCTGAGTGCCTAGTTCTCAGAGACTAAGCTCCAGAACTTTGAAGGCAGAAATGGTCTCTGTCACAACTATTGAACTTTGCTGTTGCACTGAGAAAACAGCCATGACCAAATGAATGGGTGTGGCTGTGTTCTAATAAAACTTTATTGACAAAAACAACCAGTGAGCCATATTTTATTAACCCCTGCTCTAAGGCTAAGTGGATTGCCTAGTCACATGTGGAATGAATTAGGTTACAGCTCATGGGTTGCATGATTCTCCTCCCTTCAGATGCACCAGTTGGAGCACAACCTTACTCGCTGTTGTGGACATTCATCCCAATGGCCTTCCAGGTGGTGGTTCCATTAGTGCCACCCTGGGCCATTGCTGTGGTTGCAGTGGAGGGGGTGGAGACAAGTGGGAATTGATGGATGAAGCTGCAAAGCACAAGAGTGGTGACCATAGAGTTAGTCATGGTGTATACTGTACCTGAAAATATCATTACATGAAACTCATGGGAATTACTTTTCTTTTAATTTGAAGTTTGGAGAAAAACTGTGAAACATAGCTAGAACATTGCATTTTGTTCCCCTTGGATCAGGAATACAAACATTTATTTTCTATGTTTGTTGGATTTAACCTTTCAGGACTGCCAGGTTTTTCCTTAACTAATGAAATATACTTGTAAAACATATGGTATTTTTTTTTTCTCTATTTCGTTAAGGAAACTTAATCTAGGATATGGAAAGATGAAGAGACTAGGCTGGTTGATACCTGGTGCCTTTTCTCTGTAAGACCCTACAACCCTTGGAAAACCCAGAAATATTCAGAGGAGAGTCACCATTATCATTAAATTGTTTTGAAATGATGATCTATCAAGAATAAAGTGCCTGGGATTATTCATTCCAATAAATAAAATACTCGTGGTGCCTTGGTAAATTTTTAAATGTACAAAAGGATAAAGATGTAGTAGGAGACTACCAGCTCCTCCCCATGTCTTGTAAGGATTGATATAATTTCTCTCCTGCCTACTTCTCAAATCTCATCTCCTGCAATCTTCCTCTTATTCTGTATGCATCAGCCACCTTCTTTCTGTAAGCAAAGTGAAGTTTTTCCTTCTTTAATAATTTACTGCTAGGCCTGTGCATAGCTGGCTTTTTGTTTGTTTGTTTGTTTGTTTTGTCATTTAGGTCTCAGCTAAAACATTACCTCCTTATGAGCCCTCCTGAGATCTCCCAATCCAAACGGCCTCCCATTCCCCAATCTTAGTCACATCACTCTCTTTTATCATTTCAAGGGGAGTTATAACTGTTGGAAATTAATGAATTCATTTGTTTGCTTTCTTCTTTACTGTGTTTCTTCTCTCGCTAAAAGGCAAATAACCGTGGAAGCATGGATGTTTTTCTGTTCCATTGTGACTGAAACTTCAGTACCTAGAAGAGTACCTGCTCACAGTTGGTACTGATTAAATGTTTGTGAAAAGATTGACTAAACCTAAATGTCAAAGATAGATAAGGAGGGACAATAATTACAATGATGTTGATGATAGTGGCAATGAGATAAAGAATTTCTTTTATGTTTTATTGATTATGTAGTTTATCTCATACAAATTTTTATTTCTGATGAAGGCTGACGAATACTGACATAAATGCTGAGACAAGTTGTTTATCTTCTTTCTTTTCATTTTAAAAATACAATCCAGTATAACAAATTTTTCACTGGATAGGCTAGTGCTATAATTTGGAGGCAAGAAAACCACGTCCTAAGATTCCGAAGAAGCACATACATATCCTGTCTTGATGCTTCTCATGGTGGATTTCCTGATTGTAATCTCTTCTATGACTATTCCATGTAGGATGATGACTTGGAAACAGATGTGAACAAGCTAACTTCCAAACCTGGTCTTGACCGACCTGAAGAGGAACTGATGCAATATGAGGCGATGTGTCTTGAGCTCTCCTATAGCTTTGAGGTAGGACATACGCTGTGGTTCTGATCTTTGACGATGCATGATGGATTCTTTGCAGACCCTGGGAGGCCAAACCAGGGTATCCAGATGGAAAGCATTGCTCATCATTAGCCATCTGCTTCTGGCCTCTTCCTTAGAGAAGAGCAGAATGTTAAACAAAAATGGGAAAAGGTGGCAAAAATGGGAAAAATTTAGGATGTATGCAAGGGTTCTTCAATCTGACACCCTACACTTAGGATGGATACACAGTCATGAGCTGCCTAATGATATTTCCACTGATGACAGCCAGCATATTCCACGATGGTCCCATAAGATTATAAGACTGTATTTTCACTGCAACTTTTTATGTTTAGACACATAAATGCCATTGTGTTCCTACTGCCTACAGTGTTCAGTACAGTAACATGCTGTACAGATTTGTAGCCTGGGAGCAATAGGCTACACCATACAGCCTAGGTTTGCAGTAGGCTATGCCATCTAAGTTTGTGTAAGCACACCCTATGATGGTCATACAATGATGAAATCACCTGATGATGCCTTTCTCAGAACATGCTGCATTGTTAAGTAATGCATGACTGTAGCATGAAGGTACATATCACTACCTATTGTCTGGTGGGCAGGGTGCCTTGCCCCCATGCACTGAAAAAGCAAATAAAAATTCATGATGATTTAATTGTTCTCGTGCCAAGTGGGACTGTTTTCCTAGATGGCTTTTTGAAGGTGCACATCCTGACTTCAGGCTTTCTTTGTTAGTAGAAGCAAATTGGGAATGTTAGACCTGGTGATGCTAATTCTGTGCCTAGTTGCTACTGCCACTGTTGCTGCCATCAATATTTTAAACCTGCTTTTTGATCTCCATTATTTTCTTATGACTCTTAGTAATAAATCATGAATTTGGCTGAATCTAAGGGTATAAGCTAAGTCACGTGTACAGAAGGGAGTTAATACATTCTGTTTGACTTCAGAAAGCAGAAGGCGATCAGTTATAACAGTTTCAGGGAAGGAAATTTCAGTTTAGTATAAACATTTATTTCAAATAAACAGAATTATCCTAAAGTGAAAGGCACTGCCTTGGGGGTGCAGTGAGGCCCCCATAAATATGGTTTTTCAACCAGATTGTAATTTAGTGGGGGTCTTGAAGAAGACATTCAAATACTGTTTAGCGTTGGACTAGAGCCACCAAAAGGCCCTTCCAAACATGAGTTTCTATGATTCTGTCATTTATTTGGCTCTTGAAGGTTAGTCTTTCTTAGTTGACCTTGGAGAAAGCTTCCAGATTCATAGGATTTATGCTTAGCTCTGTGCCCAGAGAGTAAGGACAGGGATCAAATTGTATTCTCTACCTGGAAGGACACACTAACATATTCTATTCCATTTTGAACATGAAGGAACTGGAGTCCAAACCTGGAGGTGATTTGAACTCTGAGAAGACTCAGTATGCGAATCACCACCACATTCCGACTGCTGCCTCCTCAAAGCAGCACTGCTACAACAAGGACCAAAGCTCCTGTGGACAAGAAAGGGAAGACTCTGTCCGGAGTTCCCTTCTGTGCATGGTGAAGACACAAAGGTCCACTGTGCATCTAGGCTCCAAAAGAATGCCTGGAGTGAACCCGTACCAAAATGTGCAATCCAATAGTCTCGGGAGAGATTCTTCTGGAAGTGAAATCCCTGACATTCAGGCTTCCCTGAAAGCAGATGCCTGGGACATAGATGCAATTTTCTGCCCAAGGATGAGTGCCTCCTTTTCTAATTCCACTAGGACTGGAGAGGCTGTTGAAGTAATAGATAAGCTTCTGCAGACACATCTGAAGTGTGTCCCTTTCCACGATCCCTATCTTTATATGGCCAAAGCCAGAAGAACCAGCTCTGTGGTGGACTTCAAGATGGTGGCATTTCCTGATGTCTGGGGACACTGTCCCCCTTCCACCACTCAGCCTATGTTGGAACGCAAGTGTGGAGTCCAAAGGTGATGGCGCTACTGACTTGGCAGCTCTTTTTTTTTTCTGTTCTTTGATAATTTTATAAGTAAATGGTTTGTACAGATAATTCTACTATCTATAGGAAAGTGAGCATTAATCAGGAACATGTTAAAGCCTGTTGGCAAACTGACCAAACACACAAACTTCCCTTCCTGCAAGGACATTTCACAATCAAGTATGGGGTAATTGTAGGGATGTATTTTCTGATGAAAAATTCCTTGAGTAATTCTAATATAACTCCTTATCCTATCTCCATTGCAAACCACTATCACAAAGAAAGATCATCTAGTTTCCCCAAATACTGGGCTCCTTCCTCAAAAGTAGGTTTTCAGAAAAATCAAGAACTGATTATTTGGGATCTCTTTTCTTGCTTCCTACAAATTGGTATGGGATATCTTGCTAATAGAAAGGAGGAGCCCCAGGTATTATAAACCCTGGCTTAGTTCAGAGAATAGTTTTGCTGCTTCACAGAGGAGGGGATGGAAAAGACATTCTCCAGGGAAGAAACACTGGATGATAGATTATTCCCAGAAGGCAGGAAAGGGAGCTTTACCCATGGCTCAGCATATTGAGATTAAAATGAAAACTGCTAAAGGCAAAGAAAACATTATTTTTCTTGAAAAAAACTTTATGCACATACCAAGTTAGTGGAGCAAAGTGGGCAGACCAGAAAGTTTTCTTATTATCCACATCATTGGTAAATTATTCTCTTGATGGGAAATCGCCCAAACTGCTCCCACCTGGGGTCCTGGCTGACATATCCAACCCTACCCCCGGCCTTTATCTGTCTTGCTCATGTTTTTGAGAAACAGATCACAAGGGCTGTTCTAGCACCATCTTGTCCCTGCATAGGACATCTTCCCTCTGAGTCCAGGCCTCACGTCTACTTTTCTTCACCCTTCTCTTACACCTCCCCTGTGAACTGGACTGGAAATTCAGGAAGGTAATCTGAAAGACCTCCTAAGCTTTCTTTCTCTCTCTTAGTTAAATATCCCAGATTTTGGTGTTTCTTAGAAGACTGACCTTAGCCTACTGGAGCAGACAGAGCCCAAGGAATATAAATTGTACAAGGGCACACAGGCTTATTGGGGCCTACCAAACCTTGAAGATGCTGGCAGCTAATAGTCCTAATGTCTTCCTCAAAACTTTCGCAGTGCAAACTACCCTCTTATTCCCACAGCTAGAAAAGTTCCAAAGTCCCCCAACACAAGTGCTTTTGATAAAATTCTTCAAGCCAAGAATTCTCTAACTGAAATTGAACATCACTACTTCCTACATTCCTACTTCTCATGCAGTTTTATATTTTGATAAAGAAAGAGAAAGAAGGAGGGCAGGGCTATTTCCACTCTCTGAGCTCAAGTTGAGGTGTTATTAAACTTCTCTGTGCTTTCATATTTCTCTGATGACCCCCAAAGTTCTTCCCAGGTGATCATAGGATGAGTGAGCTAGAGAGAGAAGGCTGACCCTTAAAATGTTTTCAATTTTCTTTTTCAGGATCAGGATATTTGAGGATATTCGAAGGCTCATCCAGCCAAGTGATGTTATAAATAAAGTTGTCTTCAGTTTAGATGAGCCTTGGTAGGTAGTCCTGTGCATCCGAGGAATGCGGGGCATGAAGAATTCTGTTAATGGCATGAGAATAGACATGTTTCCTGTTAATAATCCACTCCTCCTCCTAAAATAGCATGATGAAAATTCAGGTTAAAGATCTATAAGGAAAAGTTTACCTTTAAGAATCATTGGCCAGGCGTGGTGTCTCACGCCTATAATCCCAGCACTTTGGGAGGTTGAGGCAGGCGGATCATGAGTTCAGGACCGAGACCATCCTAGCTAACACTGTGAAACCCTGTCTGTACTAAAAATACAAAAAATTAGCTGGGCATGGTGGTGGGTGCCGGTAGTCCCAGCTACTCGGGAGACTCAGGCAGGAGAACCGCTTGAACCTGGGAGGCGGAGGTTGCAGTGAGCCGAGATGGCGCCACCACACTCGAGCCTGGATGACAGAGTAAGGCTCCGTCTCAAAAATAATAATAAATAATGAAAAGAAAAAAAAAGAATCATCACAGTTTCCAAAGAGTAGTGATAACACATATGTTCACATGTTCCTTATTTCATTGTAGGCCTTTGCAAGACAATGCTTCCAATTGTTTACAGTTCTTCTCTAAATTTGAGTCAGGAAATCTTCGCAAAGCCATCCAAGTGCGTGAGTAAGTAAGGAAAACCACAGTGGGTATCTCCTGGCAGTTCGTAAGAGCAAGCTGTGATTGTCTCTTCTCCATGCTCTGTTCAGTGACCTCACATTGGTGGCTTGAAATCAGTCATGGTGGGAGTTTTTATACCTTAAAAATTGGCAAACAGTACAAGGGAAGGTTTTTCCTCTCAGGGAGTCATTTGTTAAACATTTACCAGTACACCACTAGGGAACTCACTGATCCATAGCTAAGTGAGCCATTCAGTAGAGGTGAACTGTTATTAATGTGTCTTGTGTTTCAAATAATGGGTCCGTATTTGGGTGTGAGAGCACTTTGACTGGTATGTTTATACTTTGATGCCAAGGCTGATTCTGCTGACCCGGAAGAGTACATAGGCTTGCTATTTCTCCACTTCTCCATGCCTGTTGCTCTCATTCCTGTGTACTTAGGTGGCAAAAATCATGAGCTTCCCAGAGAGAGGTGAACCATCCTGCATTCAAGGGAAGATGCACTACTGTGCCTCTCTAGCAGAACCTACAGATGAGTTCTCAGTAGAAAAGGATATCCTAGCCACGGAAAGTCTAGGGCTGTACAAACTAAAAGAAAGGAAATAAAACACACATGAATGTTACTTCTTTTTCAGTGTCAGAAGAGACTGCAGTTCTCCCTATGTTAAAATTCTTTCTATTATAGCAATGTGGATATATTTCCCTTGTACCAAAAGGCAAGATTCATCTTCTATAGGTGAACTTCTGAAAAAACAGTCCAGAACAGATAATGGTGTGGTGGCCATAGACAGACATCGGAATCAGAGTGCCAGGGTAGCTTCGTCACCTTCCAACCAGGAGACTGAGCAAGTTTCCTAACTCACTCCATGCCTTTATTTCCTCACTCACAAAATGAGAACAATAATTGCACCTACTTCTTAGGGATTTCATGAGAGCTGACTAATGCACTTAAAGCTCTTAGAGTAGTACCTGGTACATGATCAGCCCTTAGTCAACATCCGTTCTTACTCAGGGATGCATATTCATCATGGTTGGAGCTCGGAATTCAGTATAGCTGAGACCTCTTTTATATCCACCTGAGGATTCATTTTTGAAGTTTTTCCTTTTTGGGGGAGGTGAAGGGTGATCTTTTTTTTGCACATAAAATGTTTCAAGGAAGCCCAACATATAAAACAGAGATGAGTTTAACTAATCAGGCTGAAGACAGGAAAGACAATCATGCCAAGACTGTTTATCAGCCTTCTTTGTGTTGTTGGCTTAGTTTCCACTTCTTCCTGTGGCTCCTGCTTTTACTATTTCTTCTCTCCAGATATCACGTTCAAAGGATCCAGGAGAGGAGACCTGATTATGAGTCTCCTGGTGGAACAGTTATCAGATCAGGATGTGGTTAAGCTGCTGGCCCAGCTCAGGTCTTTTTCTCTATCCATTTCCCTTGGACCAGAGTATAAAATCCTAAACTCATCAGTTATGGTCAGGGCAATAGAGTCAAGTAACAGTAAACAAACCTACTATTGGGTAAGGAATTTTTATGATTACTTTTTGGAGAGAGCACTGTGGGAATAGCAGACAATCTGAGGGTCATAGCCTTTCCAGAATTGTTCTTGTGAGTGCCACTCCATGGGTTACCCATCATGTGTTGTATGGTGAGCCCAGTGGTTAGAGTGTGGTGCCCACAGCGACAGTGTGAGGACTAGACTCCATCAGAGAGCTCTACTCTGCTCTCATCTGTCTTATACCAAGCTCTAGCCTTTCATAAATCTCATACAATGCCATTTACCAGGGGTCCAGTGTGGGAGAGTATGAATGGATTGAGACAAAAACATTTTACTTTTCATAAAAGCAACTCAAAGAGAATACCAAGAGGATGAAACAATATTTTTTAAAATAAAATATCATGATAATGTTTAAGTCAAAACTGCATCGCTAGTTCTGTTGCTAGAGATCAGAAAAATAACAACCTTTGGAGATATAGTGATGGGGAGAGGATTGTTGAGGGCCTCCTGGGGTGCTGGAAATGTCCTGTATCTGGGTAGTAGTCACACAAGTGGTTTCAGATGGAGATAAATTCATTGAGCTGTATATTTAAGATGTGTGTATTTTATAGCATGGGAGTTATATCACAATGAAAATGAAACAACCTCTGCATTGCTAGCCTAATTCGTGTTTGTTGTTTTGTTGGGGGATTTATATTTACTAGGTTATTTGATTTTTATAAACAGCACTACAAGTTTAGACACTTCCATTTTCCATATGTGGAAATTGAGGCTTAAAATAATGTTGATCATCAAATAGTAATGGCATATCCAAACCAGATGTGGTTGAATTTTCTCTGGTATATAACACATTTGCATTTTTTCTAGCTAGATAAAAACTTCATTATAGTTTAATAAAAAGATACGCTAATATTTCAAAATAATAAAAAGACTAGAACTGGAATTTCTTAACACAAACAAGTGTTAAATGCTTAGATGATAGATATTTCAATTACCCTGATTTGATCATTACACTTTGTATTATTGTATCAAAATATCACGTGTACCCCATAAATAAATACAACTATTGTGTGTCTATAATAATTTAAAAAATTAAAAATATGCACTATTGCATAATTGACTCTTATAATACTAGGAAGCCCTCTCACCTCCATGACTTTCCAAAATCTGTACCCAATATTGTGGTATCAGGATGGTAAGTATAACTTACCAGCAAGCTGAGATCCTGGGTCTTAGATCTATAACCCAGAAACTGAAACATGGAGATTCTCAGTATCTGAAGTTTACCTTAAAGGCTTTCCAGACAACCCTCCAGTCTTGCTTCTGATCTGCAGGTTTGAGTATGACTTGCTGGTCAACGTGGATATAAACAGCACCCAGCACCAGCAGTGGTTCTATTTCAAAGTGAGCGGTATGCAGGCGGCCGTCCCTTACCACTTCAACATCATCAACTGCGAGAAGCCCAACAGCCAGTTTAATTATGGTATGAACTCTAGGGGCTTTCTGGAACATGCCAGGAATGACATTTCTTGACTGTTTGGATTCAAAGAGCCTTGCTTAGGTTCAGAGGGTTTGAAGTTGGGCAGAGTTTTGGGTTGCCAGGTGCAGCAAGGCAGGCAGTGGCCCTCAGTGGCACATTGCTACTTCAGAGGGGAGGCTGGGCATCCTCACTCTGCCACACATGACATCCACTTCTTCTGGATTCCCTCACTCTACCTTGAATCTTTTGAGGTTGGTAAGCCCTCTCATTTATTCCTTCTCTCCATCTCCTAAGTCCCATAAGAGCAAATGCTTTGACCTGCCTTTTTTCCTGCAAGATAGAGGAACAACAAAATTCAATTGCACAACACTGATTGACATTCTTAGAAAGCTCTTGAAGAAGTTTAAATTCTCCTGAATACCCGTGGCCATTTTGGAGGAGATATTCGAGAGAGAAAGGCTGATGAGCAGCCTGTATTTATTTTGAAAGTTTCAAGGAGTGGAAATTCTGCATACAATTGCTGCATCATATACTAATTTACTGGGTGACTTTGAAGGAGGAATAAGTATTCCCAGTGTCTAGGGCCAAGTGCAGGATACTGCCTCTGTTTTGTAGTGACTAAACAGATTCTTGTGGGTATGAGAAGAGAAAATATGGAAACCTTGATATTTATATTCACTTTGTATGGCTGTTGTAACCAATTGTCACAAACTCGGTGGTTTAAAACAAGACAGGTCTGTTCTCTTACAGTTCTGGGGTTCAGAAGTCCAAAGTCAGTTTCTCTGAGCTGAAGTCAAGCTGTTGGGAGAACCAGGTTTCCTCTGGAGATTCCAGGGGAAACTCCATTTTCTTTCCTTCCCCAGCTTCTAGAGTAACATTCCCTGCACTCCTTGGCTGGTGGCCCATTCTTGCATCCTCAAAGCTAGTAGTGTTGCATCCTCAAATCTCCCCCTGCTTCAGTCACATTGCATCTCTCTCTTTTTTTAAATTTTTTATTTTTGTGAGACAGCGTCTAGCTCTGTCACCTAGGCTGGAATGCAGTGGTGCAATCTCTGCTCACTGCAACCTCTGCAGCCCAGGTTCAAGCAATTCTTCTGCCTCAGCCACTCAAGTAGCTGGGACTACAGGTGCATGCCACCATGCCCAGCTAATTTTTTGTATTTTTAGTAGAGATGGGGCTTCACCATGCTAGCCAGGATGGTCTCAATCTCCTGACCTCGTGATTTGCCAGCTTCAGCCTCCCAAAGTGCTGGGATTACAGGCGTGAGCCACCATGCCTGGCCACATTGCATGTCTTCTATAGTCAAACCTCCCTCTGCCTCCCTCTCATAAGGATATTTGTGACTGCATTTAGGGCTCACCAGGATAATCACCCCATCTCAAGATCCTTAACTTAATCATATCTGCAAAGTCTCTTTGGCCATATACAGTTAACAGTCACAGTTTCCAGGGATTAAGACCTACGTATCTTTGAGGATCATTATTTGGCACAGAACAACTCTCTTTCCCTCATGTGAAGATTAATTCCTTTTCTGATTTTGTGTAGGGATGCAGCCCACCCTGTATTCCGTGAAGGAGGCCCTTCTTGGCAGACCCACCTGGATACGGACAGGCTATGAAATATGTTACTACAAGTAAGTTAGAGTGCTATTAGCTTCTTTTTCTCTGTCCTGTAATTTTCTCTCAATTTCCCACTTTTCCATATTTGATCTTAGAAACATAAGCAATCTGTGCTTGTCTGATAAATTTTTTGTCACTCTGTCCTAATGGCCAATGTCCTGCTCTTCAGAGGTATAAGCGTATTCACTGGCACCCACAGTAGACCTCGAGAAATACCTTTTGATTTGCTGAAAGAGTTTATCTTCATTTAAACACATTAAAACTTTTAAATCTTGTTGTCAGATATTAGAAGTCGTAGAGATTCTACCTGTGATTAGTGTGTCAAGCCTTAGTTCTTTACTTATTTCCGCTGAACCCAGAGAGTGAAATGTCTGAGATGTTCTATCCTGCTTCTATCCGCCCCATAGTTTAGTTTTCCAAAGTATAGGAGGGTGAATATGTGACAATTACACATACGTAACTCCTCCCCATAGCAAGGTAATTTTGTGGAAAAAAATAAAAGAGGGAGGAGTTTCAAAATTCACCTTTAATCCTTGATCAGTCTCCAGTTTTATCAGTTTATCCTGCAAAGTCACAATGAACTTTAAATTGTCCATATATTTTGATGAAAGAAATGCATTCCAGATATCTACATTGCTTATGTGTATATTTTCTTCAGATGAAAAATAAAATTCAAATTTATAAGAAAATAAGGATAGGAATTCCTATGAGAGGAGGAATATATATATGTATATATATATATATAAAATTAATTATTAGTTCAGTGCTAATTTCTTATAAAAACTGAGAGGCTAGTACTTACTTTCTTAAATAAAGTAAGTTTCATCTCTTTCTGAAATTACTAGAGCCATCTAAAAAAGTATGATCAGACATTCTGGAGTTTAGGATAGTTGTCACTATGGAAAGGAAACAGAGTATATACCCTTGTGCCTCTTGGCTTTTGAGACTTTGAGGATAGGAGTATTGATAGATGGGAAAGGTCAAGAATCTTGTTGCTGTATCAGATACAAAGGCAAAAATCACCATGGAGATAATGATAGTCTACAAGACACAGAGCCAGGCTGACTAGCCGTCCGTAATAAAAGAGTTGGAGGTATTCAATCCCTGATCTATTAGGATATGAATCTAAAGAGGATTTTTTATATCCTTTAGAAAAATTGCACAATATTATGACTTTGTTGGTTTTCCATTCACCTAAATGGCAACTACTCTCTGGCTCACCTATCTTAAGACTCTCAGGGCCTTTCTTATGGTTCAGAGAGATTTAGATGAAACATCACCTCAAGGTGATAGTCTGCAACTGCAGAAAAAAAAAAAAAATGAAAATCTACTTTTGGACCTTGGTGTGTCAAGCATGAGTTTTAGTTTTCTCTGAAACTAGTTATTCTCAGTAAATGTGAAAGACCCAGCTTAGAGCTGGCTTGGACCTGCAAGTTAGTAACAGATTGGACAAACATAACATTTTGCATTTATATGTCCCGTTGGAGGATTGCTCCTCTTGGAATTGGGGAATAAGAAGGCTAAGGGGACCACGTATTCCCCAAAAGAAGGAAGAAGTCACACTTTCAAAAGCACAGCCTTGACCTAAGGAGGACCAATTCTGAGAGCTTTTAGAGCTATTAACAAGACAATTATTATGTGATTAAAGAGCAACAGAGGGACAAGAAAAAACCATGAATGTATAATGTAATTAATTTTTCATATTCCAGCCATGAATACAGCAGAGATGAATGGATAAGATTGCTACATTGTAATGTAGTTTGTTTTATAATTATTCACCACGTTGTGTTAACATATTCCCAATAATATGATGTAACAACAGGATAGATATGTGTAATCTCTATTCACCCACAAATTAGAACACCTCTCTCAATTGTAAAATGATGCATTAGATTATACAATATTTCTCTCCCTATTTACCCATCCTGATCTTTGAGTTGATTTGCTTTACAAGAGTTCTTTGCTTCTCTTCTGCCTTTATTATTTCTGGTATATTAATTTGGGGGAACTTTACTTCCCTATTTCCTTATCTCCCATATATCTTTAGAAACTCTGCCCTATTTCTGTTGTGCTGTTAAAGTCCCAGATTTGGTGCCATGTTTTAAGAGGATGCCAGGGTGCTCATTGTGGGGACAACTGTGAGCCGTGGTACCTGAGTATGTTTCTAGAAGGGTGAAAGGAAAAAGGAGATTCAGAAGAAATGGGATTTGCATTTGCATTTTCCTTCAGAAGTTGAAGTTGACAGCAATGATGAGCAGTTGAGGATGTGGGCTGACTGCTCTGGAGGGCCAATTGTCATCAAATGAAAAGTCTCCAAACTATTTTGACAATATGCCACTAAGCAATAAGATATATTTGTATGTGTTCTTACTAGATTAGTTTATACATTTAAAAAAGTATATATGCGTTACTATACTAACATATTGTGCATATAAGAAGGCATGCAAAAAATGAAGACTTTTAAATTAGGAGAGAAAGATGAAACAAATAATAGTTTATAGCTACCTAATTGTTACATCTTTATGCTATTTATAGCGTAGGGCACACTAGAATTTTGCCGTGGAGTTTATCATTAGATGTAGTTATAAATAGTCTTTTTGATAATTTTGAGAAATTTTGTTTAACTTTCTAGATCTGATTAGATTATTTTAACAAAAATGAGAATTACTGAGAAAGACCTAATATTAAGGATAAGGGGTAGGCCATGTCCATTCTGCCATTTTCTGGTCATTTTGATTGCAATTTAATTGTAACATCAATAGATGGCTTCTAAGAAGATTTTCTTTTAAAAAGTAATTGTCTATTTTGTGAGGTTTAGTTTAATTTAGGTAGTACAATGTGTAAATCAAAGTATGCTTCCGTAGACTTAAATACCTTGCCGGAAGCTAAAAGCAAAAGAAAAAGGGAGGGAGCTAGTTGTTCCCACTTTTCCCTTTGGAGACCTCTCCTATGCAACAATCAATGCTTAACTAACATGTAAAAACCGTAGAAGCAGATATAATGTGTTTTTCATACTCCAGCCCTGGAATACAACAGTGATGAGTGGATAAGATTGCTGCACCATCATCTGGTTTGACACATTAGGTTGACATTGAGACAGCTATGCCAATCCCCAAACAGTAGACGACTTAATTTCTTTCTTACTATCTAGATAATAATCATTTTAAGGAGAAATTCTAATATTTTCTGCCTGTGGTCAGTTGATCACTCTGCCCCTCCCATGGAGCACCTCCCACCCCTTCTGTTCCACCCCTTGCTCTTCCCCACCTTGAAGACCACTAGGCTGGAAAATAAAAAATGCCCCTCGAGAGGGAGGAACAGAAATGGGCAGATTCATTTTTCCCTGCCTCTAGTAAAAGTAAGTAAGGGCCTTTTTAGTTTCTCTTTTATTTAGTTCCCTGTGGTCTGCTTCTTCCTCTGATGTTCACAGCCACACACCTTTTTGAATTCTCTCCCCACTCTGGTCTAAAGTAATTTTGGTGCTGAAGGGCAGAGGGAGGGAAGCTGTGCGCTTAGAGTGGCCATGTAATACACAACGGCTGATCTCTTCTGACATTTATCTCCACTCATGAGAGGAGATGGAATAGCTCACTCATGAAGATGAATGTCATACAAGAGCTCTGCCATCATGCATCCTTCCGCGGGATCTCAGGAGAGAGATTTGGTGTTATATAGAATATTAGAAATGCTGCAGACACAGGGAAGCCTGGCAACTTCACTGCTCTGCCTTATTAGATCCTGTTAAGTGAAATGATGCACGCTTGTTGAACAGAGCCATTGTCATTATAAGATTATCTAATCCATTCTCCATCATGGCATTTGCTTATTTTATGCACCCTGCCGAAAAGAAACAATGACTTTCCTGCATATTTTTAAGTACAAATGGAAATAACCTGAGTTCATAACTATGCCTTCGTGTACTTGCTCCTTGCTTCATTGAAGTCTTTATGATTATAAAAGTACAGATCCTTCCAAAGATAAATGGTTCAGGGAACAGAAAAGCAAACAAAAAGCCTTTTAGCTGTGAAGTTGCTGGATGTACCCAGCCCAGATCATCTTTGACCCCAGATGACCAATAGAATCCAGCTAATCTTCAAGATCACTTCTGATTTTCACCAGGCTGCTTCTCCATCTAGATGAACAGATTGAGGAGAGGAAGTTCTTTGACTCAGACTTCCCACTCATTAATGGCGTGACCTTGGGCAAATTATACCAACTTCTTTCAACCTCAGATTCTTCATCTTAAAATGGGATAATAATGGTATCTACCTAATAGAAGTGTTCTGAAGATAAAATGACGTGAGATAAAACATGTGTAAAGGTTAGAACAGTGTCTGGTGCATAGTAGGTGTTCAATGAATGCTAGCAATTATTTTAAATAATTAGTAAAAACATCTTCTTAGTGACATCAAATATCAATGATATAAAATCATAGTATATGGATCATATTAACTCTCAGCTGGATTATTTTCCTTTTTTTTCCTATTATTTTGGACTGTAAGTTCATAGGCAGCTCTGATTTATGAAGATAAAAACTTCAGATTCTTACTTGCTACATTGGGCATAAGACATCTTGTCCTTTTTTATCCGTTCCTAACAAGCAGGTGATATAATAAAAAAAAATTAGTTTCTGAGCTAAGCCTACAACTGGGGTTAAATCCTGTTTACTATACTTGTGTGCAATTGCTCTAGACACTTAACCTCTGTGGGCCTTAATTCCCATCTGTTGAATGTGTGTAATAATACCTTGAAAGGGTGTCATTAGGATTGGAGATAAAATACATTGAGCAACCTAATTATTACTCCTGGAGTCTTGGGTCCACTTATTATACAAACTTTAACTGAACAGCTGCTATGTCCAGGCAATGTGGGAAGCATAAAGATAAACAGATGAATAAGCATGGTCCTTGCCACAAAGTATTGGCCATGAGAATAGGAGTGATAAGGGGGCTATCAAGGAAGGCTTCCTGAAAGAGGAAACACTTGAGTTAAATCTTGAAGGATGAAGAAGACTTAGCTAAATAAGGAAGATGGAAAGGGCTTTCCATATAAAGCAAGAACATGGGAACAATTTAACATAGGAAGGATGAACATTGCTTCTTGCAAACATCACTCGATATGTCCACATCATAACTGGCAAAAGAAAAGAGCTTGTTGATGGGATTTTAGTTTATCATGGATGAACTGTAGCAAGCCAGATGTTTCACTTTAGAGATTTATCAAACACTTGGCTTTGAAGAAGATGATCTTGGGAAAGTTTAAAGGCCTCTGCAGAGGAAGGTATGCTGGAAGTAGAGTCATCTCCTGGACAACTCCTGCTACAAGGGGGCTGCCAGGAGACTCCGGTGGGGATGCCTGACATTTGCTTTAGGTTCAGCCAGAGTTTAGACCCCAGGCGAGGGTTGTAACTGAATTTCCTTTAGCTGAAAGTCATTCTAAATAAGGTGTTAAAAATATATTTTTTTGGAATTCCAGCAGTGTGTAACCATCCTGGAGAAGACTGGCTTGTCGGTGGGGAGCCTTTAGTCTTGATCAGGAGAATCTAACATCACCAAGCTGTGGGGGGTAGTGTGTTAGGTGAGGGAAAGAGAGAGAGAGGGAGACTGTGTGTGTGTGTATATATGTTGGTGGTGTGAGAAGGCAGATTTGACATAATCAAATCTACCATTTGAATTCCTTACACTTCCCTTAAATCTTGAGTCCATGGAAGCTCAAGAGCTAATGATTAGCCCATTTTATTTCTCTTTCCATTTCACTGCAGCTGTTCTTTCCTTGGAGTCCAGATTTGGTCTGAATGAGGGAAAGAACATAGAGATAAATACATGGATTTTTTTTTTTTCTCTGTCTTTCTGGGTCTCTCCTGTGGTTGAATGTGGTGAGATTGAGTTTGCATAGGCTAAATGTGCTTGTGATATGACTTTAGTGTACTAATAGTGCAGTAGGGTACCTAAAAAGAAGCAAGGCCCATGCCAAATAAGACCAACCCTACTGGCCCTTAGGGACACCTATTATTCTTGAGTCAAGATACAGGTTCTGTCTCCACTGTCTGTAGGCGAAGAACTGGGGACAGTGAAGCACAATGTGTGTGTTTCCATCTGCCTTTACATTCATGAATACATGCACATCTGTGTGTGCACCCACACATATATGCTTACAAGTGAAGCACTCTTCCACGCTTTGATTGGTTATCCCTGGCTCATTTTATTTCAACTGCTGTTTCCTGTAAAGAGGAGTAATTGACTAGCATTTTGTTCAGCAAGGTGTAAACTGAGTGTATGTTTGCATGGAGGCTTTACAAGGGAAGTCAGAAAGCAAATAAGAGGTAGAGCATATGTAACTTGCATGCTTTCTGAGCTACCATCTGCTTCTTTACATATTTTCTAATAACCAGAATCATAGCTTTTGGAGAAGCTTCAGAACTTTGGGGCAATCTGGCAAAGTAGACTCAATTAAGCATTGCGATCCATATCACACCATGTGGGAAGACACTCTTTTGAAATTTCTATTTCTGTAGGCACAAAGGAAATGGATTCTATTAATACAATGCCAAAAACCTGGGTGTGACAGCCACTTGGGGCTTATGTTGTTACAGGGTACCCTCCTTTCCCTAGCATGACCAAGGCTCTAGGTTGCCATGTTGACAGAAGCTGAGGCAAGATAAAGGTATCAGGCCATAGTCAGTGGGCTACCAGCTTGCCTTAGTCCCATTCCTAGGTGTATAAATATTGAAAAGCCACAAAACCATGAGATTTTCTATCTCTTTCTTCCATGCTTGCTTTTTGCTTAGGTAGGGAGTGGCATGAAGGTAGCAAAAAAGTAGAAAAGAATAACCTATGTTTTTTATATTTTTCAAGAACACACAAGAATAATTACCTACTATTTCTTCCCTTCCCCTTCCCTTTCCCCCAATAAAACCAAAAGCACAAAGGACTAGTAAGCCAACGTTGTAAATGTTCAAAGGTGGAATTACATCTCTTGGTGTCCGGGTGTATTTTGCATTATAATGCAGCCTTGATGATAACATTTCTCAGGAAAGCCTGCGCAGCTGTCTGAGCATCAATTGGCAGCTTGTGGGGAAAATATTGCTTGGAATGGACTTCTGGGTGCAATTTTCTTTGATACTGTTCTCTGAAGTATCAAAATTGGTTCTTCATCTTTGACAAAGGAAAATGTGCACTCTCAAACCTTACGAAGCTGAACCACATTTGAGGTGACAAATATATTCCTTTGGGAACAAAGCATTGTACAGTGGAAAGAACAAAGCCTTTGCAGTCAGAGAGATCTGGGTCTCAGTCCTGTATCTACCATTTCACTTTCAGGCCTTTGGCAAATTAACTTTTCTAAGCTTTTGTTTCATCATCCACACGATGGGTTGCTGCAATAATAACATAAGACAACATATGTTAAATGTTGAATTGGAATTTGATATATCCTATGATGGCTGATAAATCTACTTGGCAGGTAGAGGGGAAAGGAAGGAGTTGTACCCTATGTGGTCTGGGGAGAGACAGGGATTGGGGGAACCCGAATTTGGATGATAAAGTTTATATCTCCAATGTAAACCCAGGAAAAACAGAACTGTTCACGTTTTCCTCGATTTTCTAGCTCAATGACTAGACAGCGCTCATTTTCAGACAGCAAAGAAAGGTTGGTAGCATGTATGGCACAATTGGGAGGCAGATGGGCCAGGCTATATGTTGCTGAACTGACTCATGAACTGGCGATAAGTTCACTTGTACATTTCCCTTTTCTCAGTTTCACCGGCAGAAATGTCTCAAGTGAAGGCCATTGTGCCAATACAGTATATAAGGCCAAGATTTATAGCATCTAGGACCCTAAGTGACCCTGCACCCCCCTCCCACCTCTCCCTTATTCTCTTCTCCTCCTCTCTCTTTAGAAATCATTATCGCCAGAGTACAGCTGCTGCAGGCGGAGCATCTGGGAAGTGCTACTATACCCTCACCTTTGCTGTCACCTTCCCACACAATGAGGATGTCTGCTACCTGGCCTACCACTATCCCTACACCTACACAGCCCTCATGGTAACTTCCTCTTTACAGTATCACTCCAGCAGGACCGAAGGGGCTCTCTGATGTTTTCCCGAGAACATTTTTGAGACCCTGATATCCTGATTGGGGGCGGAGGAGGGTGTAGGGAAACTATGGCCTTCCTAAGGGAGCCAGGTTTTGTTGTCACTGACTTGGTGGCTTTCTATGTGTCCCATCTCCTTCCCTGGACAAAGCACAAGGCTGAGCCTTGATCAGTGACATTCCGAAGGCCCAAGTGGTCTGCAAGTTGGGGCAGGACATGGGGACATTTCTTAAGAGACTCTATGTATAGCAAGTCAAGTAAAGTATGAAGTAGGTTGGAGTTGTATGGGAAGCAAGACCATACAGGTAAACTGAAATGCAAATCTGAAGAAAATTCAGTCATTCAGAGGAATGGAGAAAGCAGGAAGGTAGAGCTTGGGAAACTTCTGAGTCTGTGTGCAAGCAACCATGCCAGCATCTCCAGTGGTTCTGATGACCATGAGCTGGAGGTGGCTAGCAGGATCCAGAGTGGAAGAGAAAAGTGTAAGAATAAAACACTAGATCATTGCAACAGACAACCACAATCTTTTTATGAGGGAGAGTAGGAGAAGTCAGGGCAGACTCACAGTTAGTATTCCTGTGTTCCATAAGGCCCTGCAAAAAGTTCGCAAGACTATTGTGAGCAAATGGACTGCTTAACCCATGCAGTTTTCTGTCATTTGAAAAAGCTGACAAACTATCCCTTACTGCTACCATTTTGTGGCTATCCTAAGGATAAATGAGCTCCAGTAACTTCTATAAAGCACTTTCATCCTCTGTGTTAATGTAAAATGTTATTAGCATATTTATAATCATATGTGTTTATATGAGTATATGTATCACTTAGCCTGAAGGATGAGCATTTTCATTTTAAGGCTGTGATAAGGAGTTGGAAAAGATAATAACCAAGAACATCTTTTCCTTCAGAAGGAATGTGCAGGTATAAATGGGAATTTTTTGCATAGAGAAGGCATATCTTGCACCACTTGGCTCACTGCTTCATGAAAGTGCATCTGTCCTCTTCTCCATATGTTGTCTTGCCTAAAGAGAGATTTTTACTGTTTTCCAGATTGCAAAAGATACACAACTAGTATTATTTGTGTATCACACTCAGAGAGCTCAAGAAGTTAATCCAAGTAATGTGCATCGCAAGCTAGGCTGTAACAAGCCACATTTGTTATACAACATGTTTTGTTGCCTTTAGGGACACAGAACAGGCAAGATTCATGATCCCCCTTCAACAGTTGTTTTTACAGCCTTGCCTGTGAAACGCTCCACATGAAAAGTCTACTGTGGGCTGGGCGCAGTGGCTCACTCCTGTAATCCCAGCACTTTGGGAGGCCAAAGGTGAGAGGATTGCTTGAGCCAGAGTTCGAGACCAGTCTGGGCAGCATGGTGAAACCCCATCTCTACAAAAAATACAAAAATCAGCCAGGCCTAGTGGCATGCACCCATAGACCCAGCTACTTGGAAGGCTGAGATGGAGGATCACTTGGGCTCAGGAGGTTGAGGCTGCAGTGAGCCAGGATCACAAAACTGCATTCCATCGTGGGCAACCGAGTGAGACCCTATCTGAAAAAAAAAAAAACAAAAAAACAAAAAACCAAAAGCAAAAAATATCTCCTAGGGAAGGGGATTTCTTTTTAAATATGTGTTATGTGTTTGCCTTTCCCATTGGGTAAGGGATCTTGGATCTAGGACACTGTTCTTTTCACTTGTTAGAGTATCTTGGACTCTGATAAGGTCCTGGTGGCCATTCGTATAAAACATTAGAACGCAAAGGGGTTGGTGAAGTTGTCTAATTCACCCTTAACATTTATAAATGCAAGAACTGAGACCTGAAGTCCCACATTTAGCTAGCAGCCATGCAGGGACAGAACATCAGCCTTTGAGGTGTATTCCTGTGGTGTTTCTACTCTCCTGTAGAAAAGTGTAGAAGAAATTCCTAATTTCTGCTCCGGGGTCAGATCAGTGTCATTGCTTGCTATTACATTCATAAGCTACTAACACATGCAGTCGTTTTATGAGTACATGTAGTCATCATTGTGTGATGATACAGACATCTCTAATGTTTGAATTCAAATCACCAACCCACAGGTTATATCTTTAATGCTGAGTGCCGTGGATGTGGTTCCCCTGAGGGATAATGTCTCTTTCCAAACATGGTCTAATTCTTACCCTAAGATGCTCCAGTGGGTTCTTGCTAGGTGCCTACAAGCTGATTCAAATTGTGTACCCCTTTCAACCTGGCCTTGACTTGATGGTACCTAGTTGTTTACCTTGTGCCTCTGGGTCTGCTTACCTTCTGGACACAGTTTCAGATCAGAATACAACGCCTAAAATTTGCAATTGGTAAATAACTCTAAGAACCACTGGGTCGGGGGTCAATGAGGAGATGATTTCATCTTAAAGGGAAATAAAAACACACAAAAAAGAGGACTCCCCTCTCTGCACCAGTCACTTAGTTTCACTGAGAGGGAAACAGAGGCCTTGTTAATTGATGCTTATTGAATTGACTTGTTACTGTTAACAATATTAATAACTATTACTGTTACTATTAATTACAATAAGCTATAACTACTTATGACTTTTTATTGTTACTTGTGAGCTTGCTGACTGTGAATGTCTTCCACCACGGAAGTTTGTGGAGAGTTAATGAGAAAGAGGGATAACTTATTTCTCCTAACTGAGCAAAACAGGGTTAGAAAGACATTTTGTTACTTGAAAGTGGCAAATGTATATTCTCAATTTTAGGTTTTACATTTCCAATAACTCATGGTCTTTGTCCTCTCTAGGTTTAAGACAATAATTGACTCTGTGACTTCTCTTAAAAAAACTCTTCCTTCCATCATGGACAGAATGAGTACATTCTGTAATGTACACTAGTCATTTTTATTTTTGGACATGTCCTGAGGAGAAACAGTTTTTCTTCCAACAGATCAGTGATAAATTAAATGTGAATGATACCCCAAAGGGAGAATTAACTGTATGTTACTTGGGGGTTATGGTGAGGGGTAGAAAATACGTTTCCATGTGGAATTCATAATTTGCAAGACTCTTATAATATGGATTACATTTAATAATTACAGACATTTTTATAGCAAAGGACTTGTGTGTTGGATGTTTTTCAATGTGAATACAATTTTGAAACTTTCAAAATTTTATTATTCTCTTATAATAAGAAAATTAGTATTTGGTTCTTTCAAATGGATATTTCCAGATGCTTGCCAGTAAGTCTGTTGGATAATTTTTCATATTATAGCATTAAAATACAGCTAAAATAAAGAAATACACTATTGTAATTCTGAAACAAACAAAAAAAGCTCTATTTTAATCAGTTGTATCAAGTTATCGGTAATTGTAATGATTGTTAAAGTGTTAGCAATACTCGTTAAAGTATTAGAATTATGTTATAAATAGCCCCTAGGTAGCCAGTAGTATTGGTTGCAAATGGGGCCCCAAGAGAGTTTCTGATGAATATTTTAGGAGGTAAAAAATTGGGATCTCACTGAGAACTTATAACTGTGTGAAATGACAAGAGACAAAAAAAGTGGTCATTAGTAGAGTCCATGGATTGGGAGAGCTTAAGGATCTTAAAGGATAGAGCAGAATTTTTACCAGACACGTATACCCACTGTGGAAGATGTGAATACTGTTATCTCCAGAGACAGAGGGTGGCGGGGGAGGGGGAAGAGAGAGAGAGAAGAAAGAAGAAAGAAAATAAAAGAAAAAAGAAAGGAAAAAGAAAAGAAAAGGAATTAGAATGCCACATGCACAGTACCTTATAAAAGACTCAGAATAAATGAAGAGTTTAAGAAGTGTCAAGTGGGAGATGTTGACTTACATGTGGCAGATCAAAGATGTAATGAACAGGTCATAAATCAGCACTGTCAGGTAATCAGTAGACAGAGATCCATCCTTGTATAGGCCAAACAAATGACAGACCCCAGTAAAGGTTCTTTTTTTTTTTTTTTTTTTTGAGACGGAGTCTTGCTCTGTCACCCAAGCTGGAGTGCAGTGGCCAGATCTCAGCTCACTGCAAGCTCCGCCTCCCGGGTTTACGCCATTCTCCTGCCTCAACCTCCCTAGTAGCTGGGACTACAGGCGTCTGCCACCTCGCCCGGCTAGTTTTTTGTACTTTTTTAGTAGAGACGGGGTTTCACCATGTTAGCCAGGATGGTCTCGATCTCCTGACTTTGTGATCCACCCGTCTCGGCCTCCCAAAGTGCTGGGATTACAGGCTTGAGCCACGGCACCCGGCCCCAATAAAGGTTCTTGATGGTGAGGAGGTGAGCATGGAAAACCATTCTGAAGGAGCCAATATGTGCATGAATGGTAAAGTCTTTGACAACAAGGACGTCTGAATTCCCTAAATACAGGGTCTTGGGCACAACGAAAGAAAGTTTTGAGGTCAGACAGACCTAGATTTTGGTCTAGGTGTTGTGTTTCCTTGCTGTGTAGCCACAGGCAAGCTATTTAACTTCTCTTAGCTCAGTTTTCTCATCTGTAAAATTGGAAACAAAAAAGCAGTGAACTACATAGGCTATTTTCAAGGTTAAATAGTTGCTAATTGGAAACTATTTTAGCAAAGTGTCTACATCTAGTAAGCAATACTAGATGGTAACCATTAAAGCATTTATTATTTTTTGTGATGATGTGTGATTATTTTCTCTGTTGGACTGATTGGAAGATACCCATTCCATAATTCATACTAAAATTAGAAAAAAATACAAATGAAAGACCTCTCCTCAAAAATTACAAAGGATACTGATGGTTTTCTTGGAGTAGTTGATTATGATTATTTTTTTCTTACTCTTTTTTCCAAATCATCATACTATAGCTTTGCTTATTTTTAATGGACAAGGAATATTAAAACCATTCTTTCTTTATAATTGACAAATCTGTGAGTAGTTATGTAGAGACTAATCATTTCTCACATTTTTAAAGTTAAGTCCCTTTAAGTTGGGGAGCAT